TCCTGATTAGGATCAACACAAACCAATAGTGCAATATTTACATATATATTAATTATAGCAGAAAGAAACTGCTATACATTTTTCTTGCCTAAGTTTTTCAATCTCTGCTAAAATTTAACAGAACTAACAGCAAGCACTATAATATTGTTCCGAGGACTGAACCAAAAGAACAATTGTGCTTTTTCATTACAATAGGTTGATAAGATGCTAATTATATGCCATATATAATTTTAAGTGTTTATATAAAAATTACATAATATTGCACCATTACAATTACTGCATATATTACCATATTTACAGCCAATCCTTATACAGGGGTTGGACATTATTAGACTGATGTTGTACAGCAACCTAGTCTAACTAACTAGTCATGTAGATACTTATATATAACGTCTGTATATTGTGAATAAAGTATAAAGCAGGCAGGCAATTTATTGTACTAACTTGGTGTAAGGGTAGGTTTTTACACTTGTCTAGAGTTGAACCTATATTGCAGCCTAGCAAGTGTATATATTTTATTGTATAGTACTCATGACAACACGAGGTGTGTTGTACATATACCATAATAATAGTAATAATTTAACTATAATCATTTCACCTTTGAGTGTTCATCTGTACCAACTAAGAGAGATAATTGAGGAGCTAACTTGAGGTGAATCCAGCTTAGATACAAAATTACCACTCAAATTATAGAGTGTATGATTATATATATATATAGTGTGTATTTTAATTAAACGATAAGCAGCTCTGGTTCAAGTTCTAGAAACAGTTCAAATCCAAGTCCAACAAGACTTGGCACTTGTACAACTGCAGAAAGGCTAGCAAATACAGCCATCATGTCTACAGCAAAAAAATTAAAAGTTACCCTCACAGTTATGAAAGGCCATTTAACCAGATCAAGAAGTGTAAAGATCTGAGTACAGAAACTCCAGTTGATCATGTCGAACTGGTGGGCTATCATAAGGTTGAGGTGGAAAAATTTGAACAAGTAAGAAGCCAAATGGAAAAATATGAGGCTGTTCTTACTGACACTGCAATAGACAAAGTGACATTAGTGGCTGTCATACAAGAACAAGCAGATTATGAAGATGCCATTCAAACAAAGTTACAACAATTTATCAAGGTAATAACCAATTGCAAGGCAACAACAAACATAGCAGCCACAGCTTCCCAAAACCCGAAACAATCAGAAGTCAAACTACCATCACTTAGTCTACCAACTTTCTCTGGAATAGAGGACGAAAATTGGGATAAATTCTGGAACAAATTTGTGGATTCAGTAGATGTTAATGCCAATATAGCTAAGACCACAAAATTTACATAATCTTCATGGTGTTTTAAAGAGTGAAGCATTAAAAGTGACCTGTAATTTAACATTGCCAGATGACGGCAATGATAACGCAGTACAGCTCCTTAAGGAAAATTATGCTAAACCAGAACGAGCTATCAGACTTTTAACCCCATGAATAGTGCATATACCCGCACCAGATGGACCCACTGACTCAAGCCTTTAGATTGGTGTTTGAGGCACTTGACAATAAAGTAAATCTAGATGAATCGGATTGGTTAATCCAATTTCTTATGAAACGCAAATTACCCAGTGAAATACTGGATAAGTTGTGTGTTTTACATAACAAATCTTCTTTGACAGTAAAGGAGATAACGGAAGGTTTATGCTCAGTCATAGAAAGACAAAGAGGCAACACAGATGGTAAATCAACACCTAAACCTTCATTATCTACGCATAGTACTCCAGTGCTCCAAATACATTTAAAACAATACCTCCTCTCCAAGGTGGAAACAAGGCAGTGGATCCTTTCAAACCAACAGTTAATGTGTCACCCAAAACGATGACTCCCCAAGAAGCTGTTAACGTCTGGAGGCCATGTCTATTCTGTGAAGAAGAACATTCCATTTACAACTGTAAAACTTATCCTAATTTTGCTACACGTGTAAAACGACTCAAGGAGTTACGTAAATGCACCAGGTGTCTACGATTACATAACCACGACACCTGTGCAACTCAAATACTCACCTGCAATAGGTTCAATACGGGTCAACATCACATAGCACTGTGTGGAGACTCAAGGACAGTCTCCCAAATCACAAATGGAGGAAGGAACTTCCACTTCAGTACAGCTCTGCAAAGTCTTGCCAGATGTTTATTTATTTATTTATTTATATATATACAAGAAGGTACATTGGGTTTGAGAGGATACACAGCATGGTGTTTACAATCTTGTAAAGCCACTAGTACGTGCAGCGTTTCAGGCAGGTCCTTAATCTAACAGATAATTTTAAGTAGCTAAATTCTAGCAAAATTTATAAAATGATAACAGGTACATTGGAAAAAAATGAGATGAGAGAGATTAGTAGGTATATTAAAGCACATTGGTAGCTCTGATTGATTGCATTGACTGCTTGATTGATAATTTAGCAAAGATTAAAAGGCACAATACAGCATAATTGATAGCACATATAAGACGACAGCAATCATCACAATGGTAAATGTCAAATAATTATTTATTTATTTATTTATATACAAGAAGGTACATTGGGGGTTAACAGAGAACATAGAAATTAAGTTGAATTTACATTCTTCTAAAGCCAATAGCACGCATAGCGTTTCGGGCAAGTCCTTAAACTAACAGAAAATTTTTGATAAATTAACAGTAAAATTGATAAAAAATGTTTACAGGTACTTTACAGCTTTTCTTTACAGGTAAAGATAATTTTAAGTAGAATAATTACAGTAAAATTGACAAAAAATGTTTACAGACACATTGAAGAAATTTTGACACAGAAGCAGATTAGAATAATACACAATAATAACAATACACAATAATAACAATACACAATAAAGAAAAAAGAATTACTAGGTACATAAGGATAACATTTCAGGGTTATACATTGGTTCACTGAAGCACAATATGAGGATCATTTCAAGGAAAAGTTTCAAGGAATAATGCAGTAGAATTTGCACTCAATACAACAACCTTGATATCAGATGATATCTAAGATTACAATGGTAAAATAATATGGCTTAGGTACAAATATTGGGGGATTGTGTCGAACTAGATACAGTGTGAAGATAAAGCACTTGGTAGCAAACCATGAAGATGAAATTAGGTACTTTTTGGTTTTATTTTTGAATAAGGCAAAAGTTGGACAGCTTTTCAAATTATTATGGAGTCAGTTCCATAGACTAGGTCCCTTTATTTGCATAGAGTGTTTACATAGATTAAGTTTGAATCTAGGGATATCAAAGAGATATTTATGTCTGGTGTGGTGGGCATGTGTTTACAGTGTTTACATAGATTAAGTTTGAATCTAGGGATATCAAAGAGATATTTATGTCTGGTGTGGTGGGCATGTGTTCTATTACATCTATCCAGGAAGAGTTTCAAAACAGGGTTTGCACTTAAAAAAAGGCTCTTATAAACGTAATATACACAAGAGAATGTTTGGAGTGAATTTATGTTTAGCATGTTTAGGGCTTTGAACAGGGAAGCTGTGCATTGTCTGAAAATAAGTTATTATTTAACATGAGTGGGTTGGGATCAGAGTAGATGAAAGTAGTATCATCAGCAAACAATATAGGTTTAAGCATGTTAGAAACATTAGGGAGATCATTGATGTATATTAGAAACTGGAGGGGGTCCTAGGATGCTGCCCTGTGGCACCCCTTCAGTTAGTGGTAGAGTAGGAGAGGTTATATCATTGATGGCTACATACTGGTGTCTGTCACTAAGATAGGATCGGATATAGTTCAGGGCAAGGCCATGGATTCCATGATGGTGGAGTTTAAGTAAGAGGTAGTTATGGTTAACAGTATCAAAGGCCTTTCTCAGGTCAATAAAGAGTCCAATCGGAAACTCACTCTAGTTAAGGGTTGAGTAGATTAAGTCAAGCAGACTAATAATTGCATCATTGATACTCTTTTGGGAGTGGAAGCCAAACTGACAGAGACTAAGTATATTGAATTTTACGAGATAGGAGTAGAGCTGTTTGTAAATAATTTTTTCAAATATTTTTGATAATATAGGTAGGTTCGATATGGACCTGTAATTATTTATGTCTGCCGTGTTACCTCCTTTATTAACTGGCGTTACTCTTGATTTTTAAGGATATCAGGGAAGGTGTAAGGGAAGGTATATCAGGGAATGTAAGTGTACTATCAACAATGTCTGATCATAAATTAGCTTTACCCACTGCCCAATTAACCCTTAAAAACGGAAAGTCCAAGGTCACCATACGTGGATTATTTGACCAAGGATCCCAAATGACTTTTATCTCACAAGAGTTGGTAGATGCCTTGAAATTCAAGCCTGTACGAGAGACAAGAATAGACATAGCAGGATTCCCGACTAACTCTGGAGTCTAAGTCTTCAAGGTGGTACAACCTAAAGTCCGTTTAGGCGGTTATGTCTGAACGATACAGGCTCTTGTAGTATACAAATTCCCATGAGACCTGTATGTGTATGGTGTAGGAACAACAGCCAAATTCCTGGAAAAAAAGGGAATCGAGTTAGCAGACAAAATCACGTCTGACAACCTCTCCAATATTGGAATCCTTATGGGTTGAGACGTCTACCATAAGTTTATCAAAGGAAAGGATGAAAAACAGGGAATGAACCTGTTACCGTCTGCGGGTGGCTATTTGCTAACAGGCCCAGTATTACGACTGAAGCAACCCATACCTGTGGACCACCAACAAGCTAACCCAGTAATGGTTGCATGACTAGGAGAACAGTCACCACTACAATTCAGAGACATGTTCGAGGAAGAGCTTGATCACCATGTACATAAATTATGGGATCTGGCAACTCTCGGCATTGTCCCTGAACAACCTAGTCCAGATGATGACTGGACTTACAAACAATACCTAGACTCAGTTGTCTATAGAGATAATCAATACTGGGTCAGGTTTTCCATGGATGCTGAATCACCCTCAGCTACCCATCAACCATTTCATGGCGCAAAATCAATTAAGGTCACAGATGAAGCACTTACAAAGACATCCGGAAAACTTGAAATTGTACCGTGAAATAATTATGAAGCAGCGCAATGACAAATTTATTGAGGTTGTAACAAATGATGACCCAAAGGAAGGACACCACCTGCCACACCATCCAGTACTGAAAAAATCAGCTATTACCCCAATAAAGATAGTCTTTAACTGCAGTGCTAGGACCACACAGAATAGTGTATCACTGAATGACTGCCTTCAAACTGGCCCTAGCCTGACACAAAGGATATTCGATGTGCTGTTAAAGTTCTGCATTGGGACTGAAGCATACACGGCAGATATCAGAGAAACCTTCCTTAGGGTAGGTCTCCAAGAAGAAGACCGTAACTACAAAAAGTTCCTATGGATCGAGGATCCTAACGATCCAAACAGTGATTTAATCACCTACAGGTTTGCATCTGTTTTGTTTGGCGCCACTTCTTCTCCGTTTCTGTTTCAAGCTACCTTAGACTCGCACTTGAAGAAGTCTAATAGCCCAAATAAAACAGAAATTAGCAACAACCTGTATGTGGACAATTTCCAAGGAACACCCAGCAGTGAAAGCAAACTGCTGAACATATATGATGAGGTCAATCTAGAATTATTGGGAGCAAATATGCCTATCCAATCTTGGGTCTGCAACAATGTCAAATTAAATCAACTGATCGAAACATAATTCCATACGACAAAGGTACTAGGCATCGAATGGGATAAGACTGCAGATCAGGTGACAATCAAGTCGGTGGAGCCAGATACCCCTAACTTAACAATAAGAAAATTACTCTCACAGGTCAGGAAAACCTTCAACCCATTGCGACTATTAAGTCCAATCTTAAATGGGAAGTTGATAATGCAGGAACGTTGGCAACAAAAGATTGGCTGGGATGATCTTCTAACACCTACCTTACAAGAAAAATTACATGAGCTAGTGAAAGATTTCAGTATCCTAGAGTCTGTCAAGTTCCCTCGGAACACAATAAATTAAAAGGAACTAATTAAGCTACATGTATTCTGTGATGCCTCAGGAAAGGCTTATGGCACAGTAGCTTACCTAGTCTTAAATGGGCAAGCCGATTTGCTCTCACCAAACGCCAGAGTGGCACTGTAAAGAAACGATCATTGTCACAACTGGAGTTAACAGCCCTACTGTTAGGAGTAAGAGTGGCTCATTATCTGATCAAGGCTTTAAACAATATCCACTTTGCAGAAACAGTGTTATGGTCAGATAATGAGGCAGTGCTAAAGTGGGTGAAAAACAATAACAGTAAAAAGCCTTATGTGAGTAACTGCGATAAGGAAATACGAGAGTTGTCCGTAGGATACAAACTAAGATATGTACCCACCAAAGAGAATCCAGCTGACTATCTCTCCCGAGGCCTGACTTCACAGCAATTAACCAAAACAGAGATGTGGTTCAATGGACCTCAGTGGTTAGTCAGTGACCAGTGGCCTGAATATAAGGCACAAGTCATTATCACCAATGTCACTGTTCCTACTGAGAATCCAGAACCACCTCGGACTTTGGTAATTGATCCTAATCGGTACTCAGAAGTGAATAAACTAATAGGTGTCACCCAAGTTCTTTGATTTTCTAAAGAAAATAAGAATCAGGCATAAATTCCCTAGTGCCCTAAGGTACTGGGTCAAAAGAGCCCAAACAGATACATTCCGGATAGAATTTGACAATGTCCCTATGAAGCTTCAAAATGAGCTGGCTCTATGGATAGACACCAACAATTATAACATAATAAGATGTGGATGCCGTTTACAGCATGCGGACATAGATCTGGAAGCTCCCCTCCACTAAGAGAGACCACCATCAACAACTCTCCCCTCCACTAAGAGAGACCACCACCAGCAACTTCCCCTTCCACTAGGAGAGACCACTACCAGCAACTCCTCCCTCCACTAAGAGAGACAAAGATCATTTACGGTTATGTCATGATTCCCAAGCAAGACTCGTGGTATAGAAGTTCCCCATAAATCAGTGATCCTCCTGGTCTCAAATATGTATGTTTAAAAAGTCTAGGGTTGAGTGAAAGTCTAAGAAAAATCCTCCCGTTTCCTGGGGCGAACTTATTCACGTGACAAAATTTCTTTACACAATATTTACACGACCACAACCTAGAACTTGTAATCACGTAAATTAACACAAGGCACAAGTCACAGCCGCTAGCTGTCACTAAGCAAAGATACCTCAACATTTCCTATGTTCATTGCATGTTCGTCACATGTTCAATCTGGTCTTCACATGTGTTCAGCATGTTCTCTGCATATTCTTCACATACTCTGTATGTTCTTTACATGTTCTCTGTATTTCTTTGGAACAGATTCTTCTCTAATAGAATTGTTTCCACTACATCTTTATACAGTAACTCATTTAATGTTCTGTATTTACAACAACTACATTCCTGTTTTCTGTGTCATCAGACAAGATTAGGGAAACGTTTAATAACTAACAAATATAATTATTTACTTATTTACAAATTTATTTATTTACCCATTTACAATTTTATTAAATTAATTTATTTTGATATTCATTTATTTACTTATTCAGAATTTTTTTTTTAATTTACTAATTTGTATTATTTTTACAAGTTAATGTACATACATACTTATTAATAAATTTATTTATATACAACTTTATTAACTTACTTTTTCACAAATTTACTTACTTACAAATTTATTTATTTAGAAATTAATGTATATACTTATTTACTAATTTATTGATATACTTATTTACAAACTTATTAATGTACTAGCTGTACCCGCCACGTATTGCTGTGGCTCAGTCTGGTTATATGGAAAAGAAAGAAAAGAGAAAGGATACATTTCTAATATGTTTAATTTCACAATGCTTGTGGGGTATACAATATTTTTTGTTGTTCCATTGTCTCTAGAGATATTGAGATTGTCTAGTTTGCCGACTCTAGAACCCCAGACTATCCCCAGTCCTTCTGTCTTTCCCCCACCGTTCCCCTCCTTCTCTGTCCCCTCGTCCTCCCCACCATTCTCCCCTCCCCCATCCCCTCGTCCTCCCTATCATTCCCATCTCCCTGTCCCCTCGTCCTCGTCCTCCCCCACCATTCCCCCCTCCCCCCCACCATCTTCCACTCTCCTGTCCCCTCGTCTTCCCTACCATTCCCCTTCGTCTTCCCTACCATTCCCCCTCCCCCATTTCCCTGTCATCCCCCATTCCCCTGTCCCCCCCAGATATGAAGAAGTTTCCCTAAACAATTTTATCGTTAAATGAAACGAATCCTTAGCTGAGAAAGATTATGAAAAATATTGTCTTAGTAAATTTCTTATGGAATAAAACTTACTTTTGTTTCCAAACAAATCTTTTGTACAAAATCATTAGCAAGAGTTTGAGAAGAAATATAAAGATGATAAAGAATTGACATAATATTATTAAAGAGTAATAGAGTATATTAATTAGTATTTTTTTCTTTTTAATATTTTTCTGAACTCATCATATTTCTTTCAGAAATTCATGTTAACAATTTGTTGTTTAAATTTTGTCAAACAATGCGGTTCTTGCAGTATAATCTCCGAAACATTGACGCAGCAGAACGGTTAATTTAGGTGTTTCCATGTATATCACAATATTCGATAACGTTATCCACCATCAAACAGTACTTGATCACTGTTCCCACATTGATTTTTGTTTTATTTCACAGGTGAGTACAGGAATAAACGACTACTGACTCCTGTTAGCCGGCTGAGAGCTTTCCATCCCATAGCTCAGGAAAGCCTTGCCCATTAGTTTTCCCCTGAAATGCGACCAAGCAATCTTTAAAAAACCAGGTACTCAATCACTGGTTGGTGAACAGAGCCATACAGTTTCATGGACTGACGCCTAGTCAGTCGCTCGTGTAGTGAGGGGTGAGTGTGTTACCACTGTGCCACAATTGCTCCTTGACTATCACTAGTTACATTAGCTTTACAGAGTCAACAACAGCTAACTTTAGTTCCTCTCCAAGGGTCGACATTAGTTCCAATCCATTCTTTAATATTTCCCCTGGATTGTTGTTCTCAAATATTATCTATTTTGTTGTTCCTGAAGCGCTCTTGGTGTTGATCAAGGCGAAACTGCCTTTCCACGGCCATCAGTGCACATCACGTCCTCACACATTAACCACGACTCAACTCATACTTCATCCTGCAAGAACTGCTTAAATTTCTGGTACCGGCAGACATTATCATCATTGTATATTTTTTTGACTGTACGATAAACCTCATACTTTAAGAGCCAAATGACCCAACTACCTTGTTTTCTTAAGGAGAAAAGCATGAAAATAAACAGTATTAACATTTAAAAGTGTTATCAAATAAAAGAACAGGCGAGCATCGTTATTGTGAGATGAAAAGGTTAGCATACATCAATACAAATTATGCATTTGTCAAACAGCAGACTACTCAGATGTGAAAATCTTTTAATATAATGATATAATAATATTTGCCATTAACCTGTAGTTTACTATGTGGAGCTATGTGGAATGCATTGAAGACAGTTGTCACAGCACTTTCATCCACAATGATAAGAAAAAATATGATGGCAAATTTAACATCGAGCAATGTATTTATTTGTGCCAGGTATACATGGGCAGGAAATGGACCTTAGACAACGGCTTACGTCATATAATGTATTTTGATTCACCCAGCGTGACTCTGGACTACGTCACATGAATTTTTTCACTAAAGAAATTTAACGAAATTAGGTTATACTCATTAATCACGGATTTTACATCTCTCTGTAATAAAATTATACACACTAATGTCATACATTACAATTAAATAATTAGATAAACATCATATTACGTGGTCTTATTGCGCCTCCAAATATATATTACAAATATTGCTTCCTATCAGTTTTTGCATTTCTCTCCATTTACCTAAAGTTTTTGTCTTGCCTAACCTCTATAAGAAAGGAAATATGATATATGCTTTAATCTATATGCTATAATATAAATATGCTTTATCCACATTTCCACAACTGATATTGATATCAGAATTGAACTTATTTGAATTTCTGAATTTCCAAGACAGCATGTGGAATTATCTTCAATACACTTGTTTTACCTATTAAAATGAACTTAACCCTCATTTGCAAAGAAGAAACTCATACAATTATCATTTGTTTAAATATTTTGAAAATTGGAACTGGTGTTACAGAGCTAATATAACTGTGCTCTCCCGAGGATATAAGCCACATTATTTAGTTTGTCATTACGTTCAAATAAATTAAAAATAACAGAAACATACAAGTCTCTCTACTATCTTAAATATTACTTACCTTGTTGTAAAAATATTCTTGTTAAACTAAATGGATATTCAAGCCATCTTCGTGGAGCGTTCGTCGATATAAATGAAGATATAAGGATCATCATAAGAAACAGCATCAGCAGCGCCGCCAAGATGGCCACCCACACAAGAGGCTTCAGAGGAAACAGGAAGCTCCAGGGGTCCACCTCCGGCCGACCTCTACTGCCCACTATCCTACCAGACTCCACCACTATAGGCCACGTGAAGTCCAAAACCTTAGCTCGTAAGGTATCGATGCCGAAAGGACCAAGACAAACGTCGTCCAGCTCCTGTAAAGTCATATTAGTAACATGAAAATTATATTTCATTCCAGGATTCTTAAAAAATCCTCAAAACTGTTAATAATATTTT